TAACAAGTCGAAGATCATGAAGCAGTGAGCTTTCATTTAACAAGGGGTTTAAGATGCCATTCGATCTTGGTAAACTGTATGGATACGGCTGACCAGAGTAGCTTTCATGAGAATGTGTTGTTTGGAAAAATTTGGCAAAAAAAACGGCAATTGGTCATTGTTTGCTGACATTGCTGGGTGTGCGGACGTTCTACGCTTACTATTTACGAAGCTATAAAAGTGTTTAGGGTCCTGTGAAAATCGTATCCTGCCTCGAGATAGGTAGTTTTTATAGCATTGAGCGTTAAGAACGGAGAAATTTGACCGAGCTATAACATAGTGAGAAAAAGAAGAGGGAGAACGTACTTCTCGAAATTTTTTCTAAAGTCTTGATTTTAAGTTTTTTAGACTGGATAACTCTTTGGTAAACCAAGGAGGCTTTTCAGATCTAACCGGACAAGAAAGTGGGACACAAGAATCAAAAAATGTGTCAAGTACATTTTAAAAATGTTTGTGCCTTTCATAACGTCAGTGCACAAATACAGAGCGGACCAATCAAAATCACTAATGCGGTTATTAAGCGGACACGTTCAGATAGCCTACCCATTCGATCCAATACAGTAGGGCCAATATCGACTGACACTTCAAATGTAGGAGTCTTCAGGTATAGTGAGCGGAAGGGATCGGGTTAACAACGCTATGGTCGGATCCGAGACAAAGCACAGATCAAGCAATCGACCCAAGGAATTTTTCACATGGTGTACTTGAGACAGGGATGGGTCTAGCAAGCCATCGATAAAGTCATGTCGTGACATGGGCCCAAGGTTATTAGACTCGTTTACCGAAGACCAAACAGTACCTGGCAAATTGAAATCACCAAGAACTATCATATGGTCTTTATCTGATAGCGAGGAAGAAATAGTTTTTAAAGCGTACAGGTGATGCTCGTATATTAAGATATCCGAGGAAGGTGGAATATACGAGCAAGTAATGAAAATGGAAAAGCCTGGGAGAATCAGTTTTACGCACAGGAATTCCAGGTCTTGTTGAATCTGGACCATGAAATTTTCCGACGTGAAGTTTGAGTCCACTGCAATAAGGACGCCACCTCCACGTCGAGACGAACGGTCATTTCTAAAAATTGTGTACCGACCTGCCAAAACTTCGGAACTAAGGATGTCCGGCTTTAACCAGGTCTCGGTGAACACAATAACGTGGGATGAGAATGCGAGACTCTCAAGGAAAAGAGTGCTGAGCTTACTACGCAAGCCTCTAGCATTCTGGTAGGTAACTACAAGAGAGGAAGTTAGTTTTTTGGATGGGTGGAAGTAGAGGTGGAAGATGAGGATGGAGATGGAGCACTGGTCTGAATCCTAGGAAGAGTAATGGGGGGCCTATTCTTTTTCTTAGCCTTAAACTCTTTAACCATCAAATGCTCCGGCCAAAACTTGGCGGAACAAATGGTTTCAAATTGAGTTGGCGAGACGCTTATCTTGAAGGAAGATATCTCCCTGGCGTAAGAAAAGTTAAATTTTTCCACCTTAAAGCCGACGGCTTTTATTTTGCTTTGTATAAAAGCGGTCACATCATTGGATGTGAGGTCAGGGGCTTATCGCTTTGGTGGGACTCCTACCAGTGGCTTTGGCACCACAGGCCTAGTACCTGTGATGGCAGTATCCGATGGTCCTGGACATCTATTAGCTGGTGGGAGCGAAACTGAGGGGATAGTTAAGGGTGCGGACTCGATGGACACGGACTCTACAGACATTTCTAACTGCATACTCTCCGAAGTGACGCATTCGGCTCCCGAATCTGCATCACCAGCAGCGATCGTTGCCCTTGGAGTAGCAAACGTAATCAACTGCTGCACTAAGGGAGTTGTCGGAGTAAGTTTTTCAGATGCCAGTGGACATGAGGCAGTCGGCACTTGCAAGTCCCGCGGAGTCGACTTCTTGCGCCTCGGAGACTCAGCCAGCAGCTGTAAACTGCTGAACTGAGTGTTCATGGCCAAGAGCCGATCATATTGCTGTTTATTGAAGCCACTCCGCGTCTGCCTCATGAACGAACGCATGTCGTTTTCCACAGAACGGCATTCCTCACAACTATAATGTAGGCCGTTGTTTTGGGAAATGGCGTCTCCTACACGTCCCGAGATCCCTACACATTTTGCGTGCACTACGCTTTCGCAAAGCCAGCAGGGGATATTGGGCTGGTCATGGGTGATCTGCTTCTTGCAGGTTTTTTTGGCACAGACGACAGAAAATTCCATATTTATGTCTTTTATTTTTTTTACTTCGGGAAAAAAAGTTCAAAACAAATAGCAATCAGACCACTGTGCAGAGCAAATGCTTAGAGCAATGCTTAAAGCGAAATCGGTAAAAGATGAGAGAGGAGAGTGGTTGCAGCAACAGCTTATAGGTAAGAGCGTTACTGCACAAAAAGTTACAAGAGCGAGAGCGAAAGAACAGTTATTGAGAGTTAGGTGATAGAGAGAGTGATAGATGGCAATAACTACGACAAAGAGCGGCTAAATGTAATGAGAGGGCGTACTTACGAAAAGCAACAACACAAACACACGACTAACCGACGCACAAAATTTATTAAATAAGTTGTATTTTTACACAATTATCAGGCATGCACCCGCGGTAAAAGTATGATTTTAATGTAAGTTAGTTAGAGAGTTAAACTATAGATAAAAAAACACCGGCTGTTTAAGTTAAACAAAAGGAAAATGCGGAGCGCAAAACAAAAACACGTCTGGTCACTACGAAAGAGAACGAACGAGCATAAGCTTGGTTTTAATCTTCTCTTTATATCAATAAAAGCGACCGAAGCTCGGAAAATCGCGATTTAAGTATTGTTGTAAAAAGTACGATTTTTCAGGGTTGTCAAACGTTAGTATTGTTTTCGATTCCCTCAATAATTTTCGTTTTGATCAAGAGTCCTTTTCTCCTATTTCAGTCACAAAAGAAGAAATGCTTCTCAAATAAACGAATTTGGGTCGTCGTACTCGCAACTCAGAAATTACGAGAAGAAATTATTCGAATAGGACTGAGGAAGAGCGGGAATCGTAGCGAGAGGCGGATCGGCTAAGGCAAAGGTTTATCATGGAATTTATGTAGAATTTTAAAATATTTTACATTTTAAATTTTTTGCTCCATCTGTTATCTACATCTATAATGTCGATTGCACCTCTCAAATGTAAATTATACATACAAAATGTGGATTCTACATCTTCTCCGCAAAGGTCGCGCATTGCACAGGGTAGTGTGTTCGAGCGAGAAAGAGAATGAGTAGCTTGGTCTCGAGCTGGACTATAATAATGAGCCGATCTGATTCAGATTTGGCAATTGGTAGAGATGGTCATTCTGTATGATACTGTTTATACCCGTACTCAAAAAAGAGTTAATAGCCTTTTCACACTGGGGACCATCCACCATCCATTTCTGGGATGGTCCGTAAGGTTTTGCCGTTCCAAAAATTTCCCAGTTATTCCACCATCCATCTGGGATGTTCCTAATTCGCACGTTTCTGACTCTTTTTGACATTCACAACAAAAAATCGGAATTCACTTCGAAAATGTAAACAATGACAGACAGGAAAATATAAAAAAAAAAACAAAATCACATCTGATATGTCAGAATTGTCTCAGGCACACAACTCGGGAATCCTCTGGGAATTTTTTTATGAATGCTCTGCAAAACTCATGCAGGATATTGCACTCGCTTTTGGCTGACAGCCTTCCGACTTTTCTGTACTCAGAAAAAGAGCCCAAAGTATACAATGCTAGACCTATAGAAAACTTTCCTTAGAAAACGCTTCGTTGTTTTCGGGTACGTTTTTCTCCCAAAATGTCCCAAACCGCTTCTCAGAAACATAGAATATGTATTTGTATAAACATTGATTGGATTTAGTAGAAGCAGTCTGAAGTGACCACGCTTCAGTGTTTTCAAAACAGATATCCACTCCAATAAATTCTCCTCGTCAATGTTAGCCGCATTATCATCATCCATGTCCAGCAACATGATTAGCTTGTGCAAGAATATGTTTAGCTGCTGAATCACATTCACAACCATTGCAATGTTATTTATATTCATTTAAATTGTAGATGTGAACAAATTTTAAGGGGTATAGATTTGTGGTAAAATTTGATGTGTGTAACGCAGAGAAGGAAACGTTTCCGACCCCATAAAGTATATATATTATTGATCAGCATCAATAGCCGAGCCGATAGAGCTATGTCCGTCTGTCCGTCCGTCCTTCTTGTTGAGCGCCTGGATCTCAGAGACTATAAGAACTGGGGCAACCAAATTTGGTTTCCAGACTCATGTGATATCACACTGCTACAAGTTTATTTCAAAATTTCGCCCGCCCCACAAAAGACGAAAATCTGTGGCAGGCACAATTTTAAAGATACGATAAAACTAAAAACGCAGTATCGTAGAAAATGCCCATATCTACCAGATTGCCGAATCTGAATCAGATCGGAGCATAATTATAGCCAGAATGAAGAAATTGTTGGTTCCCCTGCCGACTTCAGCCAAAGACCCACTAGTCATTCTTTTCCTCGCTCGCACACTCTGCCGCGTTCAGTGCGCGAGCAACCCCTAGCGGAGGAGATGTAGAATATAAATGGTTCATCTATAATTTACATGTTAGATGTAGATAACAGATGTAGCAAAAAAATGTAAAATATAAGATTTTTTTTAATTCTAAAATTCTATAAAATCATATGCTCAAAAATGTATATGCTGAGTAGAGTCGCGTCCCCAGAAGCGACTCACACGTTCCTTCTCGTTTTATCTAATTTATGTGTTTTTCCGTACAATTTTTAGCTATTTTAATTGAATATGGTTGTGGAATTAACGAAATTCAAGTTCTCGGCCTACTTTATATACAAAGTCGTAACACTGCCATTATTTTTATAAACTATTCATTCTCATTACTAAAAATTATATTACCTAAAAAGCCTAATCAATAAAAACATTAAACATTTTACAACCGATTTTCTTATATTTCAGAATGTTACTCCACACGTCTATTCAAGCTCAATTTCCCAATGTACACTTCCTCGCCAGTCGTTGCACAATGCTTGGCCAAAGTATAATTGCAACATAAGCGGAACAAGACCGACATCAACGTTTCATCAACTTTCTTTTCCACAGTCAAGAGTGCATAGCCATAACCATTCACAATCCTTAATTGGACATTCAACTGGATCATCTTTAGCTTCGAACAGCTCTATTCCCTCGCCTTCAAATGTCTTACCTCAACCACAAGGAAGAACAATACCCTTACATCATATAAACCAATCTCAAAGCGCTAGAGTCTGCATAGGACTCGGCAGCGATGACATTCACTCAGTTGAACAAAATCTTTCCGATGACGAGGTTACCGTCCAAACTCCATTAATGATTAAACGCGACAGCACTGTATGACTATAGAAATTCCACAGGGTGGTCGACACTCCCCTGTGATTACAATTTTAATATTCTCTGTATCCTGCATTTCGAACTCTTAGAATAAACTTTTATACTTTATTATTGAAACGGTATTATTCATAGTTAAATTATTTTGTGGTGAAATAAATGTATATCTATTTATTGTTTTTGTACGGTGAACTAAATTAGTTTACTAACCTAAAAGTACGCAAAGAACCTAACAGTTTTATTTTTAAAATATATGTCATTTGTCCATCGCATTAGATTCACAATTTTGAATTGGAAAAATCATCAAGTAAGACATAAACGCAAGGTCCTTAATAATATCAAAGACTATACAACACCAAGATGCTGCATGACGACCAAAAAGCTGTTCTATGGAAGGGTTAATCGATATGCCCTATCGACAGTTGGAGCGCGTGGGGTATCAATCTCTTTTTGGCTATCCCTCGTCTCTGACCGTGACCCGCTGCGCGTCGGCATCATCTGCTCGTCAGTGACGAGTCGAGCGAGCTGGAGACAGCGCAGCAGCGCACAGTGGGCACATCTTGTTTTTTGGTTCATGTTTTTTTTCAGAGGTAATGCTTGCATACTTTGCAGTTCTGAAAACCTGACAAATGCAGCTATAAATCCGACACAGACACTTTGTAGCTGCAGCTTAGCGCCTGGAAGATATTGTGAGGACCAATCTCAGGCTGGGATATGCATCAATCTGTCCAGGGTCCTGAATTAAACGATAGTTTATAATTTTTTATTGGGACTTTGCCAGCAACTGAAATAGAATGGTTAGCGAAATGACAACACTGTTTGGTTCCTTGGCTTTTAATGGGTTTCTTTATTTTTCGTGTTGTTATGCTATTCGGTTATGTTGACCGACTGACCGCGACGTGTATGGTAGTTCTGCTGATGGAATCCCGATTGACTGCCCCGTCTCCACGCCAAGCAGTGCCTTTTATGGATCGGACGGCCATCGATTTTCGAACCAATGTCTTACAGATATCTTATCTCTCTTTTTGGAATATCGGAAGGTTCTTATATAAATATATATTGCCGAGTGGATTGCCCGGTAAAAGAGGGTTACCTAACGCAATCGCCTCGCAACAAGTGTCCAATGTACCAGGTAAGGTGATCGGTGAGCACCGGTACCGTGGGAAAGGAATTTCGTGAATATATTTTTTTGAATATTTATTTATTTAATATTATTTTCGATACTTTTTGCGTAAGTTCCCTTGTGCCAGTCTCCTGTCTTTTGGCATGTGCCGGGGTTTTGTTTTTGCTGGGTGTTGATCTCGTCATTTGAGAGCTTTGGTTACTTGGTTTTGCTGTGGTGGGGGTTGGTTACATAATCCTGGCCAGCGCCTTTCCATCGATTGGCCGCGCGTGTGCTGAGTTCTTGGCTTTCTTTCTTTCTTCGGTCGGTGCTGCGAATTCGAATTAGTTGTGCTGATATCTTCACCTGGGAGTAGCGTTGGTTGTAGGGATGGGTATCGATATTGCATTATCGATATTTTATCGATACTAAAATGCGATATTTTAGTTCAAAACGATATTAATATTCAAAGTGATATTTGACGAAAATCGATATTTCTTACAATATATCGAACAATTTTTGTCGGCTCGGAGAAAAAAAGCACATTTTGCTTGGTGTTAGAATTGCCGAAGAAAATAATCCACCCCCATGCTTACTTTGTACAAACTTTGTAAGTTTGGAACGGAAGGACTGGACAAACTAACTTCTGAGTTTTACGTCTTAATTCGACTGCATATAGATGAAATCAGAGAAAAATGGATCTGATCTCATATTTAAGTTATTTTTTCTTGATCGTATATTTAGGTAGTGCGACTGGCCCCCCCCCCCCCCTCCGTGTACCGTCCCTCCCCCCGCTCGCTGCTCGGCCCCGTCTCCTGGCTGCGCTCGGCCGCTTGTGGCTCCTGTTTGGCCCCTGTGGGGTCGTTGTCTGTGCCCCCTCCTTGGGGCTTGGGCCGCCCTGCCCGGTCCTCTCTTGCGTTTTGGCTCCTGTCTTCGTGCTCCTTCGACCCCCCTGGCGAACTAGCACTAACCATACAATATATATGTAGATGTGCCAGTTCATACGAATGTGGCTCAGCTGAATGTTCTGTTCCTGTATACACTTATAGACAAAATAATAGCTGTGCTTTACTTTTCTTTTTAAAAATTTGATTTCCAATTAAAATCTTCTCTAATGTCAACCAATCAATATTTTTTCAAAACTTATATTAATTTTCCTGAAACAAAAAGTAAAAACAGTTAAATTTACAACAAAATTATATATTTCCTTAAATCCTCCAATTTTTTCTGGACATAATAATAGGTGTACGAAGAAAAATGTTTAAATTAAATCGATATTTCACTATTTTAGGTCTTGCTTTAAATTAAATTGAGTATCTGGCAGCTAATACCCGGTATATCCGCCATTATTTTGCAGGACTTTCTCCATTCGTCTTGGCATGGAGGATATTAACTTGAGACAAGTTCCAATTGGAATGTTGTACCATGCTTTTTGGACAATATCCCAAAGTTGATTATTATTCTGACCAAAAGTCTTTCCGACCTCTCTTTTGAGTTCACCCCAGAGATTCTCGATGGGATTAAGTTCCGGGGATTGACTTGGCCACCCAAGAACATCCACACTTTTCTCTCGGAACCAATCCTTTACTACTCGAGAGGCGTGCTTCGGGTCATTATCCTGCTGGAACTTCCATAAAACTTGGCATATTATCCTCGGCATATGGTAGCATCACCGTCTTCTATAGATCTTTGTATACGAATCTGTCCATTATTCCATCAATTCGATGAATCGGACCAACACCATACCACGCAAAAGCAGCCCCATACCATTAGGCTACCACCTCCATGCTTCACAGCTTTACATGTGTACCTGGGATCAAATTCTTTGCCTTTCGGACGACGAACATTCCTTTTGACATCATTTCCATTTCACCTATTTTTCCCGGTTTTAAGGCATTGGTTACGAAGTTTTGAGATCGTTTTATTAACCTGGCCATGGATTTTTCCTTCATCTCGTCGAATGAGCCTTCTCTCCTCCGCACTGCAGTGACGCCCTCAGCCCATCTATTACAATTTTAATGACTGTTAAGTCCCAATTTAGTTAAATATTCCTAATACCTTACCTTCTGAAACCAAATAGTTATCTTGATAAACTACATTTTAATGTTTTGCTTCATACACCTATTTAATTAACCAGCCGAATTTGCCGTCTAATAGCCATATGACATTAGACTTAGACAATTTTGCTGCGTAGAGAGGCATGAGAGACAGAATGGAACATTAGTCCAGCTAGTCAGTTAGCAAAGTCTAATGTCATATGGCTATTAGCCAATCCCGAAAGCTAATTAAATCCGGGAATTCCCCCAATTCCCACCGAAACAGTGTGATCATATAAAAAAAGGATAGTTTCCTTATAAAATGTTATGTCTATATCGATTCAAACCGATATCTAAAAAAAATAACAACTTTACACCTATTATATCGTCCATAAGTGTATATACTGTATGGTTAATGGCACTATTATACTTTTATACACATACTAAAAAAAAAAATAATTTAACAACAAAAATATATAGCTCATTAATACCGATTTTATCGATATTCAAGGTGATATGACGATATTAATTACGATATGATATCTTCGATATTATATTCTATGTGATATCTTGTTTTATATCAATATCGATATTTGCTTGACGATACCCAACCCTAGTTGGTTGCATCGACTGTTTGTAACGAACCATGGGACGAACCATGGAATTCCTTCAAGTCGTTAATGTTAGCAACCTTCGATTTTCGGCTGCCCGGATAGCTTTACAATGTTCGGTGATGTAAATCCTTTGACTCGATTGGGTCCATCGTGTTTTATTTCTGACAATGGTGAATACTTCGCTGAGTTTGGTTGCCTTACTTAGAGCGGTCTTCTTGTGCCTGTCGTGACTTCGTCATAAAGTGGTCCAGGCAAGCGGGGCTCTCTTGCATGTAGTAGGAAAGCTGGGCTAAATACCGTTGTCTCAGAGACGCTGGAATTTACTGCGAGTGATATTTCCGGTATTAGTTTGTCCCAGATGTTTTGGCGATAAACTAGAAATTAGGCAACAATGGTCTTGACCGTTCGGATAACTCTTACCGTTGGGTTTTTCTGGGGGTTTTTTCTCCTCTTCAACCCATACGAGTGTTCCTAATGGCTGTTTGCATAGTGCATTTGCAACGACGTCCTGGTTTCCCCCTCGATAATGCACGTCATATTGGTATTGCTGCGCCAACTCCTAGGTTGCTCGCATCTGTTTGCAGCGAGAACTTGACGTTTAAATCGGGGCACGCAAGGACGAGGGCAGTCTTGAGAAGTTTCTTCAGTAGTTCAAAAGCAGCCTGTTGGGCTTCTGTCCATATCCATGGCTTTCCCTTCTTAAGTAGGCAGGACATCGGTTGGACGACTCTCGCGTAGTTTGGTACAAATCTCCGGTACCAAGACGCCATCCCAACGCATTGACGAAGTTCTTTCAGGTTTGTAGGAGGCCTGCGTTCTTTGACGGCAGCAATTTTGTTGTGGTCGGTATGGATACCTTCTTCGCTAGTCATGTGGCCCAGATTCTGGGCAGTGGGTACGCGTCCGGGATGGAATGTTCGCTAAGCTGTTCGTTCCATGCGCCATTTTCCATTCTTTTTACGAACGAGTACGATGGGGCGCTGTGAGGGTTTCGGAAGGGCTCGATGAGACCTTCCGTAATCAATTGGTCTACTTTTTCGTCGATGATTCGCATCATGGCCGGGTTTTTAGGATATTATCGTTGCTTGATGGGTCGATTATCCATCATGACGATGGTATGCTC